GCCCAATAAAAACTTCTGTCTACTGGACAACCGAACCCGTGTCTGTCGTTTTCTGACAATCGTTTGACACAATTTGAGGTTATTATCATCCTGCAAAACTGTTGGTTCCTGCGTACAGGTCAAAACTAGTTTTTCTGCCAAGGTGAGATGGAGATCTCTGCCTCCCCCCTCTCCCCCCCAATCTCTGACATCCAGAAGTGTTGGAGAACAACAACCCTGCTGCCCAGCCCAGGGAGGCAACCAGCTCGGAAGAGGCTCTTGCACACAGACCTGGAGAACAGCACGGGGGTGGGGTTCAGCTGCAGACCCCCATAACTCTGCCCTCTTTCCTCCCCCCAGCCTCCTCCTCCTCCTGGCACTCCCTCTACTATTCCTACACCTTCGTCTCAGAGCCCAGCCAGGGGCTGCCCCGGTTCAGCATCCTGGAGTCCCTGGATGACCAGCCCATCGCTCGCTATGACAGCAACACGCAGGAGTATCGCTCACTAGCACCTTGGATGGAGGAGGTGAAGAAGCAGGAGCCCCTTTGGGAGGAGTACGCTGGAATAGCAAGGAAGGCAGAGCAGGACTTTGGGAGAAACCTGGTGACCCTGCAGAAGTACTACAACCGCAGTGAGGGTGAGTTGTGTGTGTGTGTGTGTGTGTGTGTCTATCCCTACTGTGTTCTGTCTTACCTGCAGCAGAAGAGGAGGGAGGGAGGGGAGCTGCGGCTGCAGGAAGGAGGAGAAAGGCAGAGATGCTCCTTCCCCATTTAGAAATTCCCATCCTGCCTCCCCTTTGCTATAAGGAGGGGAGGAAGAGGGTCTAGACTGTGGGGTTGGATGGAAAAAGAGCCCCCTCTGAAGAAAAGGCCTTTCTCCATATTCTCATAGGGGAGAACAGTTCACTCTTATCAGTTTCCTTTAGAGAATCCATCCTGGAGGACATTTTTCAGATGAATCTGTCAGGGTTGATTCCTAGTGACCACATAGATCTTCTTCAGGATGATCTATCCCCAACCTGGCCCTTCAGGTCTCCCAATGGTGTGTCCATCACCACAGGAATCAAATCCCTTCTGATCTCTCTGCTTCCTTGCGTGTCTCTTCAGGATTTCACACCTTGCAGTGGAGGTATGGCTGTGAGCGGAACGACTATTCAGAATTAAGAGGTTCCGACCAGGATGGTTACGATGGGAGGACTTATATCAGCTTTGACAAGCAGACTCTCAGCTGGACAACATATGATGCAGCAGCTCAACTATCCAAGAGGAAGTTGGAGGGGGACCCGTCAGTTGCCAAGCACATAGAATACTACTTGAAGGAAACTTGCATTAAGATGCTGTCGAAGCGCCTGACGTATGGGAAGGAAGCTTTGTTGAGGACAGGTTTGGATGAGATACTTTGGGGAGAGGAGCTTCCTGGGAAAGTGGCAGTTCTTTATACGCTTCTTCTCCTACACACACATCAGTCCTTGTTTGCATGACCCACAATCATGCCTTTGCATCTTGCAGATGCAGATGAGTGGGGAATCTCTCCTTTAACTCTTCTATGCGTTGAGTAATCTCTTGAAGCAGAAAAGTAATATTCCAGCAAAAAGACAGGATTAGGCTTGGAGGTGCTCCATTTTTGCTTGAAAGGAAGAGATTTTTGAGTTCACTTTTTGGTGGAGCAGCATTTGGGAAAAAGCACCCCTCCTCCCTGCATTGTCCAGTCCTTCTGTTCCCCCCCCCCCAGTCCCTCATGGATGGAAGGAGCAAAGCCAGCAGAATTGGAGGAATCATCCCTGAAGCTTCTTGGGAGGGGAAGGTGGAGCATTTCAGATCACTGAGGAAGGGGGGAAATGGGCAAATGCTTTGCTTAACCTTCTG